ACACGAGTGGAACGTGAAGCGTTAAACTTACTTAAGAAAGACGATAGCATTGTTATTAAAAAGAGTGACAAAGGTTCATGTTGTGTCATTCTGAATAGGGAGGATTACGTTTCAGAAGCAGAGAATCAACTGAATAATCCTAAACATTATGCCATTTTACCGAAACCAATTTTCAAAGAAACTGCTAACATGATTAATAATATTCTTGCCGATTTAGTCAAAACTAGTTATCTCAAACAGAAACAATATGACTATCTGTCTGCCAAACCTGATTGTCGCGAGAGACATTTGTACACTTTGCCTAAAATCCATAAGAATCCAACCAAGGAGTGGTTTATCTCGAATAAAATCCCTAAAGGCCGCCCGATTATATCTGACTGTGGTAGTGAGTCATATGCAGTGTCAGAATACATTGATCATTTCTTACTACCTCTAGCATGCCAACATCGCGCCTACCTTAAAGACACAACCGATTTTGTCAATAAAATAAAAAATCTTCGAGTTCCCTCTAATGCTATTTTAATTTCTATCGACGTTTCTTCTATGTATACCAATATCGATAACACTACTGGTTTAACGGCAGTTCGTAAAGCTTTTAATAGAAACCCAGATCCAAACAGACCCGACGATGCAATTCTACAGCTTTTAGAGCTTTGTCTTAGTCGAAACGATTTCACATTTAATGGTAAAACATATTTACAAACTTCAGGGACAGCAATGGGCAAACGATTCGCCCCTTCGTACGCAACGTGAGGTGTTGCCCCTTTGTCCATTTGACCCACTTTTTTACGGACGCTTTTTGGATGACATTTTTATGGTTTGGACTTATTCTATCGAACAGTTTTGGGAATTCTTTGAAATTCTCAACAACCACCATCCTTCTATTAAACTAACCGCAAACGTGAGTGACAAAAGCATAGACTTTCTCGATACCACAGTCTTTAAGGGAGATTTCATAGCAGAATCAAATAAACTGGATATTAAAGTGTATTTCAAAGAAACTGATACTCATCAACTCTTGCACAAGAGCTCCTTTCACCCAAAACATACCTTTTCTGGTATAATTAAGTCACAAGTTTTACGATTTCATCGAATTTGTACAAGATCTTCTGATTTCAACCAAGCCTGTACGATTGTTTTCTCAAAACTGAAAGAGCGTGGGTACTCTAAACGATTTTTACGAAACATAAAAAATTCCACTTTAGCACAGATAGCAGCTAAGAACAGACTTTATGCCGAAGTACCTCGAGGTTTAAGAAGTGCTCCATGTTTGTCCAGTAGATGCAAAACATGTCCCTTTATATCAGAAACTCATTATTTTGTAAGCAACTCTACGAATAAAAGGTACCCGATCCAGGAACATCTAACATGTGAACATTCGAATGTAATATACTTAATTTCATGCAAGAAATGCCCCAAACAATATGTAGGAGAAACTAAGAATAATTTACGAACTCGCTTTAATGCTCATAAGTCAGACATCAAATTAAAGAAAGACAAGCCTGTTTCTAATCATTTCAACCTCGACGACCATTCAATAGACGATCTCGCCCTAATCCCAATTTAGCGTATAGAAATTGACTTGCCCGAAGATGAAACTACCAAGCCCATTGGATTGAGACATTGAATACAGCAAGATCTATAGGACTAAATATTCATCATAATGTAGGCATAGCACCCTTTGCTGTCCCGTTTAATAGAACCAGCAATCGAGCAAGCAAGATAGTTCATGCCCACTATAAGAGCCTTCAAGAGAAATTCCCCCATGTCTATAAGCAGAAAATGATAGTTGCATATTCAAAAAATAAGAACTTAAATGATAATATTGTTCATAGTAAACTAAAAACAATCAGCACATAACAGATACTATACTTCTCGCCCACCGGGCGAGTTATTTTTTCTAATTTCAGATCAGAATAAGAACAGAAGAAAACCCAATATCAAGACCCTTAATCCTAATTTCTAAATAAAGTGTCTGCTCCACCCTAGGCCTGTACATTTGGGAGAATCAAACCCTCCCTTCCCCGAAATCTAAAGATAAGATATCCGCAGAAGATTATATTCGATTAGCTAATGAACACGATGTAACGAATGAATTTAAGAAACCATGGGTGAAAAGTTTCACCAATGGAGTAGTTATTCCAAAGGATGATGATAAACAAAATGAAGTTTTTAGAAGTTATCTAAATCTCGTTAAGAGAAAAGCACCGGACAATGAAGGAATCATATATACTTACAACGACGGAAAAGAATTGGACATGGATGAAAACTACGAATTTGATGATTACGATTATTTGACTATTCAAGAAGAGAATGAAGAATGTTAATTTTTTTGTTTTAAATGAAGTTGAATAACAATTTCCTCGTTACCAAAATCTATAAACCTATTTTTACCATCTTTGATTTCCAGATTTATATCTTTAATCATAAAGGATTAAAAAAAGTGGTAAATACGTCGATTGAAATGGTTTCTCTATAATTCTATATCCTATCGGTACAGTGAATGTTGGAAGACCGTAAATAATCTGACGTTTGTATTTATTGAAAAAATCACCGTTTATCAAATTGCAATGTATATTTATGACATCGATATCATTCTCGATATTAGCTTTGTGTGGTGGATTGGGTGTATATTTGTTTATCAAATCCTAGTAACGCATTCAATGAATTTTCTACGTTGAAATCAACTTGACTATTATTTCTTAATATCAGTTTTATTTTGTTTAGATTCAAATTACATTCGAATTCAATATTGTTTTTACCATTGACACTTCCTCCATATTCAGATAGGTATTCGTTAATGGCTATGTATTCGTAGCTTCCTGGTAGTAGACGTATGGTTTTGAACGTAACTCCATTATCTGTTGATATTTTTATTTAGTTATTTTTTTCGTTGATATTTCTAATGGAATTGTAAACAGAGAAATACTTTAATCCCAATTCATATTCTTGATTGCGATTGAGTTCGTACTCATAATCTAGAGACAATTTGATGTCTGATTTATTTGAGGTGATGACGAACAGTTGTTCTTTATTTGACATTTTTAATCACGCTTTTATAATCATTTTTATCTATGATACCTTTTTTAGGAGTCTTTTTAATATAAAATTTACTTCATTATATTGTCTGTGCGATCGATGTCCTTCCTCCATTGCCGCTAATATTGCTCGTAATCTATTAAGTAGTTCCTCGTTGTTGTCGGATAAAAACGTTATACCTTGTCCAGATGCCACCATATCATCGAACTCGTCTATTTCTTGTATGATTGGTGTATAATCTTCTGCATAATCATCTGATTCATCATCTTCATATTCATCAGGAATAACTTTATTTATATATGTTTCAACTGCTTTCGATCTTCTTGTTTCGGGTCCCGACTTTCTTATTGCATGTAGAAATTTTGAGTATGCTAGTAAATCCTTGTAATCGGCAATGCCAATATACCCACCATTCATTAAATCTATTAACCCTTTTGTTAATGTAAATATTAAGTTTTTTGTATCGATTTTGAATATTGGGGAATTTGCTCTAAATTTTATTCTAAATCCATTAAACCCCTCTTCATCAATGATTGGTGTAATACTCTTTGGTAAATCTGCTTTAGGGTTTGAAAAAAGACTATTAATGTCATCTAATGTCCTAATTATCATACCACCATATGAATTCGGTTCTGGGTGATCTTTATGAGGTTCTTATAGGAGGTTTATATTCTAAAGCTAATTTCTTTTTAATATCCTCTTGAGATTTTAATATGGGTTGAAATAGAGTTTGTAGATTTTCCGTTAATCCGAGTTGTTGTAATCTGTTATTTTCAACTTGGGTCTTTATTTTATTCTTAGCTTTGATATATTCTTTATTTCTTTTTAAAATATTATTCCAATCGCTACTCATTTTAAAAAAAATAAAATTAACATATGTCGATCATAACTCTTTCACCCGCAGGTTTTCTAGTATTTACAAAGACATATCCATGATCATCTGGGTTTCACCATTGAGCTTTACAAACTTTTTTTGAATGTATCTCTGTCCATTCCGTGATTTATCGACTGAATGATTTGAGATAAATCTTTATCGTTTAATTCAAATAATAAAAAACAATTTGCATTTTTTCTAATGAACATAGATTCCATTCCGTAAAAAGATTGAGATTGGTATATGCAGTGACAGTTGTGATGTCTTCCCTTCGTGAAGAATTCTAGTTGAACAGCTTGATTTCTTTGCGCTACGCAGTCGTCAAACAATATTAAGTTCTTTCGTTTGCTATCAATATTAGACAAGTCTAGATCATTAACATTTTTCGTAAGAAAAACTTTTATATCCGTTGGATTCTTTCCTTCGATGTAGTTATCTATGACATCTTTTATTTCCACTTCTTCTTCGTTTTCTTCGTAATATTGAAATAGGTCTTGAACATCATTCTTTGGTAGATAATCTAAAGCTTTGCGGATAATACGATTGCTCTGGTGTTGTTGTGTAGATATACAAAGAATCGAAATCTAAAAGGTTTGGTGTTGTCAACATGTTAAAAGTGAGATGAGTTTTCCCAGAACCGGAACTACCGCATATACACATGAGCATTGAGTTATTAGGAAATATTTCTGAATGATTAAATTTTTTGCCCATTTTTTATTATTTTATTTTATTCCAAAAATCATCCCTTCTCCTTTATACTTTGAAAGAAATATTCCTTCTCCAGTGTGTATATTTTTTAAAAATATTCCATTACCCTTATGTTTGACTTTGACTTCTCCTGAATCAATACTATCTACTAATTTATTTAATCCTTGTTTAACAGTTTTCTTGGTTTGTTCCCCAAATCTTTTTCCAAATTCTTTTATTGTGCCTATCATATCTCCCACTTCTGAACCTTTCTTTTCCGTTTTAGGTTTTTTAACCTCTGCTGCCAACTTTTCCATTGCTAAATTGTGTCTATGATCTTCGGCTGCTTTCTTTTCTTCGGTAGCTTTTGTACCAGCAGCTTTTGCAACAGCAGCTTTCTTTTCGTTGGCAGAACTTACTCCAGCAGCTGCACCACCAGCTATTGCACCCGCCGCGGTAAGACCAGCAAATATTAAAGGTAGGGAAAATATTTTTTTTTACATTTGTGTCAATTCTTTCTAAGTGTATATCATCTCTGACTTTACAATATTTTAATTAAATGATTTGCTTCTTCGAGTAGTAAACAATAACCGGTTACATCTCCTTGTGTTTTTTCAATATGAATATTTATGTTCACCCCTGTTTTGAAAAGATCATCTTGGTGAGTTGATAGATCAAAACAGAAGATTGGATGATTAAGTGCAAAATCTACATATTCAAACTGAGGTGGATTTCTAAATAATTCACACATGTTTTTATAGTTTCTATACAATTCATTATAATCCTTTGTGGTTGGATTAATTGTTAAAGGTTGGTTAGGATAATTATCGTTGTTTAATCTTACTTGAACTTTATGGATTAAAGGATCTTGAGTTTGGTTCATTGCCACTCTGAAGACATTATTGTTATTCGTTTGAGAATCTGGTAAGTTCTTGAAACCAACTATTAAATATCTTGCTGGTTTAATAGTGTTAGGGATTGGCCAGGTGGTGGATTCTCCAGTTAAAGTCATGCTACCTACCGTATTACGATGAAGAAAAGCTATTTCAATATTTTTAGTTAATGAGTTTAATATTCTCGTTTCTACTTCAATTGATGGTGTTATTACGGGTATGAAAAGTTGGAGATTCGTAATTTCTAATTTTGCATCTGAACCATTCTCTTTGTAGATGAATTTTATATGGTAACCCTATGGAAACTTTTCTATGTTCCAACAGACCGAATAAACGATATAATTTCCAATTTACGTAATTACCCCACCTATTATTCTCAACAATATTATTGTACTAAAGTACTCGATTTTCGAATCCATGATTAGCTGCTCGTGCTACTCTTTCTATTGTGTTTCGAGCAACAACTCTCATTCTAGCTAAATCAGCATCATTTGCAAGATTTCTTACCGGTCCTTTTAAAACACTTCCATCGCCAACATCGAGTATCCAACCTGAGACTGAATCGAAATCTTTAGGATATAAAACTGTTTTCAACATTGTGTCGAATTCCCCAGGGTGTTTGATTGTTTTTATCGGATTTGAACCAGCTTCCAAAACCATCTTGCTAAATAAAGATGGAAAGAAATTGTTTTCTAACGTTGTATTAGTTTGTGGAACTTGATTCCGAGTTCCATCGTTAATTTTGAAATCACATCTGAAATAAACATCGGAAAGAAGCAACCAATTCGATAATGAATTTATTTCGAAGGCAATTCTATCACCGTCATTCAATTGGGATATAGAACTAACTAACTAAGCTATTGAAGTCTTCTCTAATAGTTTATGTTTGATTACAGATGGGTGGAACCTTATCACAATTTTGAATCCTATTTAACTAAACTTTCTTTTAAAGAGCGATCTATTATGTGTAGATTTAGGTGTGGGTCCAATTGCCTTCCATACACAAGGAATAGATTCACACAGGATACAAATATGATCTCTTCATTATGTGGTAGTGATTGCCCCGATGAGTATCATTATGTGCTCATTTGTCTGACTTTGAATAGTGAACTTAAATTGTACATCAAACCCTATTATTATACTAAACCAAATACTGATAAATTTAACCAATTATTCTCCTGTATTAACAGGAGACAACTTTCAAACTTGGCAAAATTCATACAATTGATAATTAGTAATTTATGATCATTTTCATTTGTTATTATTAATGATTGTAATTGTTAATATGTACTGTCGCCATCTAATTGATAATTGTTAAACATGTTTGTATTTCTCATTTACCTCTTAAAGGGGTCGTATGAGAGAATAAACTATCTATCTATCTATCATCGGTTCCTCCAACATCAATAATATCCCAACCATTGATCCCGATACCCAAGCCGAATCCTTTCCTTGTGCCAGTGTCTAACATAATATACACCATTTGATCTCTAAGGTTTCTACATCTACTATTCAATTAGATTGAACAACAGAGAAGAGTCTGGTGAATCCATCCACAGGCGAGACATCGTCAAACTAGGCCAAACCATCGTGAATCTGAGCTCGCGCAATTTTCTCCCCTTAAAGAAACAGATTTAAGTAAAGGATTAACCTTTACTCCTACATCTAAATCTCTTTCACGCATACCAATTTGCGATAGTATATACGAAGAAGTTTCCCGTTTACCACTGGTAAATGAAAAGAACAACCTTACTAATTTTAAACGCTCTGTTTTGACCACTTTGAAAAATGAATTATCAATTAAAGATGGGTTCCCTTATTTTTATTTATGAAAATAAAAAAGCTAATACTTATATTAATAGAAAGTAGAGGTGTTCTAATGACTTCGAAAAATACCAGTTTGTCTCACACGTCCATATTTAATTCATAATCAGCTAAATTAGAAGAGAATTACCAGTAGAATTCCAATGAGTGACGATCAAGAAAGGTCAAAAAGTCTTATTTTGTTTATCCAGAATGTACATACATAGACATTTATGATGGATTTAAACACTTAATTATATGCGATAACATCACAATGATATGATTAAGAATACATGATAATTCATTAGAAACATCAATTAATCAAATACAATGTAATGTGCTAAATTTGACATTAAAAAATAAGGAAACCCATCTTTAAATAATGCAAACTAGATCAACCAATTTTATGGAAACGGCTAAACAAATTACCAGTATTTTGAAAATGTTGGTACATAAAGGCTTTTTATCTGATTCTCAATATACATTACCAAGAATTCATAAAAATCCGAAATCTGATTGGCACTTCTCTCTTTAAGGGTAGGCCAATTATTTACGACTGTTCCAGCGAATCTTATCAAGTGTCCGAATACATTGACCACTTTTCACTGCCATTGGCTTGCAAACATCCGTCTACATGAAAGACACTACCGATTTTATTGAAAAAAAATAAGGAAATTAGATATACCAGATAACGCGTTTTTCATTTCTTTAGATGGAACGAGTATGTATACGAATATTGAAAACAACTCCGGTTTAGACGCTTTCTCAGAAACCCAAATCCTGATCGTCCAGACAAAGAAATTTTAGATTTATTAGAAATATGCCTCATGCGAAATGACTTCAATTTCAATGGAAAAATCTATCTTAAAACTTCTGGTACGGCCAAGTTGTGCAAAAAATTTTATGGCTGAATTGGAACACAAAATCTCACTATCATTGGCAAACTTTTGGGAGTATTTCGAAATTTCAAACAATCACCATCCTTCTATAAAACTTACAGCAAATATCTCTGAATTTACAATGAATTTTTTGGATACAACTGTATTCAAAGGACCATGTTTCATTCAAACAAAAAAACTCGAAATTAAAGTATATTTCAAAGAAACTGACACACACAAAATTTTATTCAAAACTTCGTTCCATCCGAAGCACACGTTTTCTGGCGTGCATCTTAGTTATGGCCGCAGCTATATTCAATTAAGGGCATAACTCTCAATACATAAAATGATCAGAGGAGTCCGAAACACTGGACACTACATCCCTCCCCCCTTTAGATAAAAGAACATTGTCACTGGTTACATAATAGCACTGAAAGTTATTTGTGTTCTTTTCAAGTTAAAATAAAATTAAAAATGGATAACTGTCCACTTGATTAGATTTAAAATATTACGCATTATTTAGCACATTGATTAAATATAATGTTACTCAAATCACAGTTCAGAACAATTGACTAGGAAATAATTAAAATTGCCCTAAACATAGTCATTTAGATAACGGGGTCTATTACGATGTCTTCTTGGGTTTCTTCTCATTGGTTGTGGAATTACTGGATTTGGTCGTTGAGCATAACTATCATCCTCGATGTCATCTTCAGAATCGGATGTTGCTTTATTGAGCTGATTTGACGTAGTTGGTACTCTTTTTAGTAACGAGCTGTTTCTTGCATAAACTTTACCATTAGGTCGTTTCAGTGTAATCATAGATCCTTTAACATCTAATACAACGGATGGTTCAGCACTAAAAGGCGTAGACAATTTATTGACTTTATTCTGTTTCACTAATACCAAGTCTCCTTGCATGAGATCGGATGATTTGGCATGGAACTTTTGATCTGCATATGATTTCATCTTACATTTGGCAGCTTTATCGTTTATTCTAGCCAATTTCTGGTGGTTGTCTTCACTTGGTGTTTCTAATGAATTTTCTGGAAGTTTGGTTTTGATTTGACGATTAAACAACAGTTGAGCTGGTGATACACCGGTTGTAGAATGTGGCGTTGCTCTATAGTTGAGTAAAAATTGATTAAGATCTCTCTTCCATTCTCCCCTTTCAACAAAAGATGAACGAATGTACTTTTCGATCGTGCGCATAAACCTTTCAGCTTCACCATTTGCCAGTATGGAGTGACACGTGCATGATGAAAACCAACAGTTTTAGCATATGATTGAAAATCTGCACCATTAAATGGGGGTCCATTATCAGATTTAAGTTCGTAAACAATTCCATGTGTAGCAAACATTTTGTCTAACTTTGGTATAATACAGCGAGCTGAGGTTGATTTGATGATTTCTACTTCTGGGTAACGAGAGTAATAATCCATAACCACTAACAGATAGTCTCCAGAGGGAAATGGTCCGCAAAAATCAGCACTTACATGACTCCAGGGTTGTGATGGAAATTCTGTCATGTGAAGTGGTTCTGGTTTTGGTGAGGTTCCAGTGTTTGCTGATTGACAAGGTATACAATGATTGATGAGTGATTCTGTATCTCGATCAATGTTGGGATACCATACTTTTTCTCGAAGTAATCGTTTGGTTTTAACAACTCCTTGATGACCTTCGTGAGCTATTTTGAGACAATTATCACGTAGAGATTCTGGTATTACCAATTTTGAATTTCTGAGGACAACTCATGAAACAACCGATAACTGGTTTCTGACGTTGTAGAATGGTTTAATGTCAGGATCAGCCTTATTCCAGATATTGGTGTTGATAGATTGAATCAATTTCTGCATAGCCGGATCCGTCGATGTAGCTTCTCGGATCATCTCTTAAGTCATAGATTTTGGTACAGTATTATTAGCAATATAATTAACATATTCTTCTATGTCTCTATCAAAATTTGGTTGGCAGGGTTGAGGGTGTCTCGATAAGAAATCGGCAGGATTGTTAGCTCCTGGTTGATATTCAACTAGTAAGTTGTATGGTTGCAAACGTAGTAACCAACGTTCAATTCTTGCTGTAGGTTTGGAAAGTGGTTTATTAAAAATCCCCTCTAATGGTTTGTGGTCCGTGATGATGATGAAATCTTTTCCATAGACATACAGATGATAACGTTCTGCAGACCAAACTATGGCAAGTGCTTCACGATCTATCTGGGAGTATCTTCTTTCAACATCAAATAGGCTTCTGCTAGCATAAGATATGACGAAGCGATGATCATCTGCATCAACTTGGGTAAGTAATGCTCCGAGTCCTACAGGACTAGCATCTACAAAGATCTCTTTGCAGGATCAAAGTACGATATAACTGTCTTGACTGATAGACTATCCTTGAGATTTTGGAAAGCTGTTTGATGTTCTTCAGTCCATGACCATTTGATTCCCTTTTTAGTTAATTCTCGGAGAGGGTCGGTGATTATCGAATGATGTGGAATGAATCGGGCTATATAGTTTGTCATTCCTAATAAGCTTCTTACAGCAGCAGCATCCTGTGGAACAGGTGCTTCTTTTACTGCAGCAACTTTAGCAGGGTTTGGAGATATACCCTGAGGCGAGAATGTAAATCCGAAAAATTCAAGTTTGTGTTGGTTGAACAAACATTTGTCGAGATTTAGTTTAAGATTCTTTTCACGTAGGCGTTGAAATACCATATGAAGAGATTGGTTGTGGTCAGTGTCTGATTTACCATAGACAATGATATCGTCGGAGATGTTCTTTACACCTGGTATGCCTGTCAAAACTTGCTGGATTATGTACTGGAATATCTCAGATGCAGAAGATAAGCCAAACAATAGTCTTTTGTACCTTCTTAATGTTGTAAGGTAGCGTGATGATGGGGCTAACTCAATTTGATGATAACCTTGAAAGAGATCCAGTTTTGAAAATGCTGTGGATCCATTAAGGTCATGTATGATTTCATCTAAGGTTGGTGTTGGGTGACGTTGTCTGGTAACAGCTGTGTTGGCTGCTCTCATATCAACACATATTCTGACTGTGTTATTCCGTTTCGGTACGATTAAAATGGGCGATACCCAAGGTGTCGGTCCAAATACTTCCTCGATGATGTCAGAGTCTTGAAGTTTTTGAAGTTCAGCCTCAACTAATTTTCTTGTATGGAAAGGAATGCGTCTCGCGGGTTGAGCAATAGGTTTAACTGTTTCGTCTATGTGGATTTGGAATTGGTAGTCTTTTAGTTTGCCTAATCCTTGGAAAACATCTTTAAATTCAGATATTAAAGTCTCAGACTTTAGTAGATCAGATGATATTGTAGAATTTACTTGATGTATTTGAACTAGATCAAGTTCTAAACAAGACTTGTACCCAATAAGAGTGCGTGCTTTCTGGTCTGTGACATAAAATAGTGCCGTACATTGCTTGATTGGAGTTTCTATAGTAGCATCAAATACTCCTAGGATTGGTAGAGGAATTGTTGAACCATACACGTAGATCTTAGATTTTGGTGTTCTCAACTCTAACGCTTTATGCTTGATGATTTTCTGATATGTTTCCTTGTCGACTGATGCTCCAGTGTCGATGATAACAGGAATGGTTACACCAGCAATGGTTAGATTAGTAAGCGGTTGCTTGCTGTTGGTTGGTGAGTCGACTGTGAAAACATATTCATCATCAGAAGATGATTGACTGTCATGAATAAGATTGATTGATTTAGGTTTGGATCCTCCATTATTGGATTTCGACTTTGATTGGTTATATCGATTGGTTGGTTTAGCAAAAGTCTTGGTATTCGTAGATGTGGTCGGTCGACCTCCTCCTCTACAAACTCTTGCAAAATGATTTAACCTTCCACTATTAGAACAGGTTTCCCCTTTTGCTGGACATGGTTTGTCTACATGGGGCCAAAATCCACCACATAAGCCACAGGTTTGGTTTTGGTTATGCCGATTAGATTTGGGATGGTTGTGAGGTTTAGAATTCTTGGTTCCACCTGATGACATATAGTTGACAGATTCTGATTTTGTGGTACCGGTACGTGACGAATGATCCATTTGGTTAGTTTGACTCTCAGCGGATTCCATAGCTTGTGAAATATCTATGATATTGTCGAGTTTAAGATCCTTCTCGCCGTTTAAGTCTTGAAGACGAGCATTTCTCGACTACTTGATCAGCAATGGCATCATTAACATCAGGAAAATCACAAGTAGCTGATAGTGATCGAAGGCGAGTTACGAACTGACTGATTGATTCACCTGAATTCTGACTTGGTTGTTTGAAAATATATCTTTCGAATCTGATGTTTTTCTTTGGTTCAAAATATTCTTTCAATTTATCAGACTCCGTTTTAAAATCTTCGCCAGTATCAGATAAACCATCGAAAACTTCTTGAACTGATTCACCTGCAAGGTGTAGAAGTAATGCACGTTTTTGTTTATCATCCCTAACACCCAAAGCCAGGATGTATACATCAAATCGGTCACGCCATTTCTTCCATCTGGTTGCCAATGAGCTATGGTCGGAGTCTGCTTGAAATTTTGGAATCGCCGGCAAATTTAACATTTGAGCCACGGTAGATGATATTTATGTGACCATTACTTTACCTCGTCGCCAAATATAATGTTTATGGGTGGATCTTGGTGATGTGTAAAAGATATATATAGTTTAACTACATTTTAATCATAAAATTGGACGGCGTGCATCTTAGTTATGGGCGCAGCCATATTCAATTAAGGGTATAACTCTCAATACATAAAATGATCAGAGGAGTCTGAAACACTGGACACTACACCATTATTTAAAGTTATATCCGAATTAGAGCACGGAGTAGCTGGCGATTTTGATAAGTAGTTACCAAGATACATTTTGTTTTAGAAACATTTACTTGCATCAAATTAGACGTACATCACTTCATAATAGAATCAGCATTTTCTTGCAGCTGAGACCGAACAATATCTAAACTATTACCGGTAGAATATACAGTGGTATCATCTGCGAAAAGATCGCAGTTTGATTTCAAATGTAAGGGAACACCATTTATAAAAATATTAAAAGATAGCTTGCCAGGTAAGGTAATATATTCAACCTTCAGTCATACACTTCTTTTAAACTCTTTAAGGCGATACTGAACAATATTGAGTATGAGTTATTGCCCTTGTTCTTGAAAACGTGTTCAATCTTTAGCTCGTGAAAACTCTAGAAGACAAATATTCAATCTTCAGCGCGGTACTGAGTAATAAAACCAAGTTTAGTCAAAATCCGGCAAGAATCATGCCTTCTAGACTTTTTACGAGTTACAAATTGAACGAGTTTTAAAGAACAAGGGCAATAACTCATACCAAATATTTTTTGATTTTTCTGATTTTCAATAGGCTTTATCCTTGGGTGATAACAAACACTCAAGCCAGGTTTCGTTAAAATCCGTCAAGAATTGTGCCTTTTAGAGAGTTTACAAGCTAAAAATTGAACGCGTTTTCAAGAACAAAAAATACTAAATATTTTTCGATTCTTCTGATTTTCTATAGGGTTTATACTTGGGTGATTACGAACACTCACACCAAGTTTCGCCAAAATCCGTTAAGAATTGCACCTTCTAGAGTGTTCGATTTTCTGATTTTCAACAGTGTTTATCTATGGGTGATAACCAACACTCATGCCAAGTTTCGTCAAAATCCGTCAAGAATTGTGCCTCCTATGGTGTTTACAAGGTAAAAATGAACACAATGGCAATAACTCGTACTAATTATTTTTCGATCTTTCTGATTTTAAATATGGTTCATCCTTAAGTGATAACAAATACTCACACCAAGTTTCATCGAAATCCGTCATGAATTGCACCTTCTAGAATGTTTGCGAGCGTTTCAAGAACAAGGGCAATAACTCATACTAAATATTTTTCGATTTTTTTGATAGTCAATAGGGTTCATCCTTGGGTGATTACAGACAACCATACCAAGTTTCGTCGAAATCAGTCAAGAATTGTGCCTTGTAGAGTGTTTACGAGCAATTGTGGACGGACGGACGGACATGGCTGACGGCAATATATGCTCCCCATTTTATGTGGGCGTATAAAAATAATAGTCCTAAGATAGAGCCTTGGTGAATACCATATGAAATAGAATGCAAGTTTAAAATTTAACCATTAATAAAATAAAAAACTTTGTTTTCTATGGTGTAAATGCGATTGAAACATAGAAACAGATTGATATAGAATATAAAACAGTTTAAATTTTAAATCAAAAGCTTTCAGAAAGTCAAAAAACTACTGCCCCACAAAGATCTTTAGTATTAATGGCTTCATAATCAATTCCTGTCAATTTAGAATAATGAGTTCTGAAAATGAAATTTGAAATGAATGGAGTTTTACGTCCTACTTTTCTGCACCATGTGGGCTATTGAAGACGGGCAACGCCATGTAGGGTGCAATGATGGAAATTTTGCCAGGACAGTGGCATTAGCCTGCTTTTTTCGATTTCCAACTGTCGAGGGATCTTTAACGTGCACAGCCTGTAGCACACGGGGCCTCGGTTTATTGTCCCATCCGAACGACTAGACGCTTTTTCCATGTCAGCCCCTCGTACCTGCATCACTGACAGGGGGAAATCGGGTTGAAAAATCCGAAGGTATTATCTCGGTCTATGCCGGGATTGAACCCTGGTCCTTCAGGTTAGCGAGCAAGCGTCTAACTCACTGAGCCAAATGAGTTCTGAAACCAGACTGATATATATAACGAATATAAAAGGTTATTATCCGAAAGAAAACTATTCAGAGAATTTGAAATATGTTACTCAAATGGTTTTGACAAGACGGTAAAAGTGAAATAGGACGATAGTTATGTTTGAGCCAGATTTGTGCAATGGTAAAACTTTTGCTATTTTGAAGAAATCGGGAAAGATATGTTGATTAATACATAAAGTATAAATATAAGTTAATGTTGGAGAAAAAATACCTGTTCTAATTTTAATTAAAGAAGGGTTTATATTATTTAAACCTGAACCCGAGTATTTAAAAAATTCATATATTCTTCCTTGAGTGGCATTTAGTAATTGATGATATTAACACGAACACAATTATATGGATATTTATTAAAGTAATTGTTATCCATAAAATTGTGTTCGTGTTCATATATTCTTATGTGAGGGATATCATAAAAGAAAGGCGCAGATTGTAAAGGAATAAAAGTTGTTGAAGATTTGATTTTATTACGAGCAGAATTAATTACTTTCCAAATTTCTTTCGATGATGATTAATCATAAAAAGATAGGAGCAGTTAAATTTTGATACAAAATCAGTTAAAATTTGACAGTTAGAAATAGACAGGTCTTCTGAAACGTTTTAACCATAAACATTTTAAATAAGTTCGGAAGCAATGTTACAAAAATGTTTATTAATGGTATCAGATTGTAAAGGAATAAAAGTTGTTGATTTTATTACGAGCAGAATTAATTACTTTCCAAATTTCTTTCGATGATGATTAATTAGTCATTAAAGATTTATATTCAGTCTTTTAAGATTTTCTAATTTATTTGATTTTGTTTCTATAAACCTTGTACATATTGAAATAGCCTGTCCTTTAGAGATCATCTCTGATTCTGATTAATTCAAATATATCGTAAGTTAGCCAGGGTGGTTTAGCTAAAGATTTAATTTGACTAATCGATGTGGTAAGACGTGTTTTGTCGAGCTCCAGTATTCTGGAGTTTTTTTCTGGAATATGTTTTTGTTAGATATTAGAGAATGGAGACATCTCACAGGATTTTATCACCATAAAATTGTGACTGGAAAATGTAAGTCAATAAACATTAAAACCTACTATTTAACGTAAACACTAATTTTGATTCTCTGGACACTATTAATTCTCTGTGGGGATGTGGAATGTAACCCTGGTCCTACCAACACCAGACAAGGACATATAGGCAAAAACGGTGAATTAGTTACACCACAAAATGCAACAAACTAAAATGATTTGACTGATCTTATTAAATCACTTAGAGACGACATTGCCCAACTTCGAGAGGAAGTAAGAGAAATGAATATCAAAGAAGAGGTCACAATAATTAAGAAAGAATTAGAAGAAATGAGAAAATAAAATGAAGTTATTAAACAGAAATTAGACGATAGTGAAAATAGACATAAAGCAAATAATTTGATTTTTTATGGTATTAAAGAGGGTGAAAATAATGTTGAAAATAGTGAGTCTGTTATCAGAGAAGTATTCAAGGAGTTACCTGAGGTGAGCGATTATTCGCAGATTGATATTGACCGAGTGTACAGATTAGGTAAGAAGATTAGTGACATATTAAATATGACAAACTTGTCATTGAGAAAGATGTTTTCTCAATTAATATGGACACAAATGAACTATCTTTAAAGTTTATATCTTGGAATGTGAAATGGATTAAAATCTAAATTATTGCATCCTGAGTTTATAGAGTACCTGCAAAATTTTGATATCATCAGTTTAACTGAAACTTGGTGCGGAGAGATTGATTTATTTGATGTGTTCCCAAACTTTCAACTGTATTGTTGTTTTAGAGGCGACGGTAAACAGCGAGGAGGTGTATTCGTCCTTGTCAATTCATTACTTACGCCCGGTGTTTCCCGAAATCAATGACGGATTTCAAGAATCAGTCTTTCTCAAGTTTGATATAGAATACTTTGGATACGAGCACACGGTTATCTATGGGACCCTGTATGTAGCACCGGAATACTCGAAAATTCATGGTACGGAATTTGGTATAGCGGACATAGACGATAAACTCTTACTTATCGAAGCGGATTATCCAAGAAGTGATTTTATTCTAATGGGGGATTTTAACGCCAGAACAGGTAATGGTGAATTTGACGACTGTCTTGTTGATGATTCTATTTCGTATCTCACTGGATTAAAAAACGCTGACTACAGAACTGACCCCTTCAATGTAGGAAGACATTCTAAAGATAATGAACTTAACAATTTCGGCAAAGAACTTCTTAGAATATGTGCAACGTTTAATAGACATATTGTTAATGGCAGAGTAGAAAATGATAGGTTGGGCGAATCTACTTGTATTAAGTATAATGGAGCTTCAGTAGTTGATTATGTAATTGTATCTTCAGATCTTTTTAAATGTGTTACCTCCTTTAATATAGATTGTAAAACCGAGTCGGATCATATGCCATTAAGCTTTGAAATGTCATGCAAACTTACACAAAATTCCAGTGAAGCTCCTAGTGAATGCTTACAACCTTACTCTAAATTAGTCTGGAAGGAAGATAGGGCTGATATATACAATAGTAGAATATCAGAAAATATCAATGACTTTGTGTCAATCTTCCAAACTATCTTGTCTAAAGATATTGAAAGTGCTTTAAATGAGTTTCAATCCTTTATATACAAATGTGCATATGATTTCAAATCCAAAAGTATCGTAAATTACTCAAAAAAACAACAACCACCCTGGATTGATTATCAATGTTTAACTCTCAAACAGAATAAATCTAAACTTTTGCAACAATTTAGAAAATCAAACAAGGTTGAACATTTAGTCACATATAAAAACATATGTAAGCATAAGAAAGTTTCGTATCCAGATCAGGTATACAGTGATCTTTGTAATAATTTACAAGATCCAAATCAATTTTGGAAAACTTTAAAATCCTATAAACCTAGAAACGAAATATCCCCTAACATATCACCAGAAGAATGAGCTAACTACTTTAAAGAGTTACTGAATCCGTCACCTGCCACCATCAATAGTGAATTTTCACACGAAACTTTCTTACATGTCAACTCTTTTGAAAACATTTGTGTTAACACAGCATGTGAAACAGATTTTATATTAAACGGTCCAATACAAGAACAAGAAGTGATGAAAAGTATAAAGAAAATGAAAGCAGATACATCACCTGGTATGGACGGTATTGGAATCGATTTTATAAAATCTTGTTGTTCACAGTTAACCCCTATATTGACTCTATTGTTTAATGCATTATTGATAGTGGTCGTTTTCCCAGTTCATGGTCGAAAGCACTGATATCCCCTTTGCATAAAAAGGCTCCAAAAGCGATGTGAATAAATACCGTGGTATCTCTCTTTTGGATAGCTTTGGTAAAATTTATACTACCGTTTTGAATTATAGATTGCAAATATGGTCAGAATCACTCGACAAATATACGGAAGCTCAGGCAGGTTTTCGTACCGGGTACTCGACCATAGATCAAATATTCACTCTTCAGGGATTAGTTCAGAAGTATTTATCTAAATCTAAAGGGAGGTTCTATTGCCTCTATGTTGATATTTCTAAAGCATTCGATTCTTTAAATAGATTGAAGTTATTATCTCTACTGATTAAAAAGGATATCCATGGTAAAATGTATACAACACTTAAATCGATGTATAATTCTACGAGTTCATGTGTAAAACTTGGCTCTTCAATAACACCCTTTTTTGATTGTTTATCTGGTGTCCGACAAGGCTGTATTCTAAGCCCAATATTATTTTGTTTTTATATTAACCAACTCATTGATATGCTGGAAATGGAACATACTGTAAATGGAATATTCACAATAGCAGAGATTCAAGACATATTAGAACTGCTGTATGCTGACGATCTCTCAATATTCTCAGATACTGTAGGAGATCTTCAAAGAAAGATTTCTGCTTTAGAATCATTTTGTGATAAATTTAATCTAAATGTCAATTTTTCTAAAACCAAAATTATTGTATTTAGAAATGGTGGTATTTTACGTAAATACGAAAGATGGTATTATAACAATGAACCTCTTACAATAGTAACTTATTATAATTATTTGGGAATAATCTTCTCATCTAGATTGAACTGGAGCAAAAACATTAATAATTTAGCTGAAAAGGCCCTTATTCCCATAAAAAGTTTCAATTTATGTTTTAAAGTTTTTAATAGCATTATTATATGGTTCACAGATTTGGGGTTTTGAATATAGACATGATATTGAAAAGGTTCATCTTAACTTTTGTAAATTTATTCTTGGGATTCATAAAAGTTCCACAAATGTTGGAACACTCGGAGAATGTGGCAGAAAAAATATAAGCATATATTATACAACTTCATGTGTAAAATATTGGTGTAAACTTGTATGTATGCCTATAGATCGATACCCCAAACAAGTATACATTATGCTGAGACAGTTGGATGAAATCGGAAGAGTTTCCTGGGTGACTAAAGTAAAACAAGTTTTATATTCGTTAGGTTTTAGATATGTATTTGACAATGAAAATATCAGAAATATTCATATATTTGTAAATCAAATTAAATTAAGACTGTCGGACATAGACTTGCAAGAATGGTCTCCAAAGTTAGCACTAAGTGAAAGTCTTAAAGAGTATATCAAATGTAAGCCCTGTCTTTTCAAAGAATCCTATTTAATTTCAAGTATCCCTTTCAAACACAAACGAAACATTGTTAAAATTAGGTTGAATTTATTTCCAACTGCTGTCAATCTATATAAGAGAAATTTAATAAATAGTCCCTTGTGCCAATTATGTAAATTATCAAGTGAAGATTTGTTCCATCTATTGTTTGAATGTAAAGTAACAGAAAACTATAGGATTGGTATCAATACTGTACAGATGACCAGAAACAACTATCTAAATGAATTAAACTCAATGATGATTTTCACCTCTTAAGTTTATCCAAATGTATAGAAAACATCTTCAAAAATTTGTAAATGCTTAATACATATCGATTAAATGCTAATTATTTATTGTAAATATATTTTTGTTATTGTAAATAGTATTCATTCATGTAATGTAAAAATTTATAATATTGTAACGTTGGTCGTAGACCTATATTACTGAAAATAAACTTATTATTAGTATTTGATTCTAATAGGAGCATGCTATGTGTTTCATTCAGATGTTATACCATATATATATAGCTTTGTCGGGATCATTTTCGCCATATATAAGTAGTACATGAGCTTACACATTGGTCGCATAGGGATTCCCCATGAAATGAAATGGAAATCAATGTATAAGGCCCAAAAAAAAGACCTAAATTCCCTACATTTCATAAAACATCCTACATTTCATAAATTCTTACATAAAAAAAGACCAAAAAACACCTTCAATCAATTTCCTACATTCCATCAAAAAAGGGCATATTAAAAATACTCTTATATAAAATAACATCCTTGTTTCGCTTAACATCCGGTTTTTTAATAGCCTCGTTTTAAATAATGTTATTTTTAGTCTAGAAACTTCTAGAAAAAGGAGATAACTCTTTTTTGGATAAAAAAACAGACCACAATTTCTTCGTTAAATTAACTCATTTAAAAATAGGATGAGTTTGATTCTAAAACACGAACAACACAGATTCGAAGATTATTCGGGCGACGGTATCTTTTCTTCATTATTTTCTCTAGTTAAAACAATAATTCCAAAAGTAGCTAGCTTTGTTTCAAAAAACAAATCACTCATTTCAACCGGAGCGAAAGCCATCGGCTCAATCGCGGAAGCGGGAAAGAGTATAAGCGACACAGTGAAACAATCTAACGAGTTGAAAGAATTAGAGCTAATAAGAGAACTTCGAAACAGGAGATTAGAAGAAAGGAAAGGAAAAGGTTTTAAAGTTATAGGATAAAAATGATTGTCGCTCACGCTCCAAAAACTTATTTCGATTCAGGAGATATACAAAAATCATTGGGTTCTCTTCCTGGATTTCCATGGGCGAAATATCCCGGAGAAAAACATCTTCCAGGTACTAGGTTAGATCTGCGATTAGACAAAAACAATAAACCCAAACCAGGGGAAGAACCAGTCAATAGAGTTGACGCCGCTGCGCTTAAACACGACATACTATACAGAAACAAAGACATAAACTTCAGACACGAAGCAGACAGACAAATGATAACCGAACTTGAAAATATTCCAAATCCAACTTTCAAAGAGAGAATGCAAAGAGCATTAATCATAAAACTGTTAAAAGCAAAGATGAAATTAGGTATGGGATTAGCGGATGAAATACACAAAGAATTTAGAAAAACTAAAAACTTTTTAAAAGTAAAAGTGTTTGAAAAAGATGAAATATGGTCAGCCGATTTTTACAAAACATTAAAAAATCCACCTTAGCACAGATAGGAGCAACAGACTTTATGCCGAAGTACCTCCAGGTTTAAGAAGTGCTCCATGTTTGTCCAGTAGATGCAAAACATGTCCCTTTATATCAGAAACTCATTATTTTGTAAGCAACTCTACGAATAAATGGTACCCGATCCAGGAATATCTAACATGTGAATATTCGAATGTAATATATTTAATTTCATGCAAGGCATAGCACCCTTTGTTGTCCCGTTTAATACAACCAGCAATCGAGCAAGCAAGATAGATCATGCCCACTATAAGAGCCTTGAAGAAAAATTCCCCCATGTCTATAAGCAGAAAATGATAGTTGCATATTCAAAAAATAAGAACTTAAATAATAATATTGTTCATAGTAAACTAAAAACAATCAGTACATAACAGATACTATACTTCTCGCCCACCGGGCGAGTTATTTTTTTAAATTTCAGATCAGAATAAGAACAAAAGAAAACCCAATATGAAGACCCTTAATCCTAATTTCTAAATAAAGTGTCTGCTCCACCATAGGCCTGTACATTTGGGAGAATCAAACCCTCCCTTCCCCGAAATCTAATACTGTCCGTGAAAGGCCAGATCAGACAATTTATTATGACTTTGGTATATATTATTTCATCTTATATATATTTATATTTTTTTTTTGTATATATTGTATATGTTAGGATTTTGACATTTGTTTCTCGTGCATATAACAAACTTTCTTCAACAAAATTTGCATTAATCTTTTAATCTAACCAAGTAAATTTAATTGCCATTATTTATGTTTTTCTTTCATGTAAATTATACTCCGAGATAATCCATCCATTTAAATTACTACTCGGGTATAATCAAAATTCAAAGTTAGTTCTAATCAATTTACAATTCACTAATCCTGCTTATTTTATCAAATATTTCTCATGTTTATTTATTTTATATTTTTGTATTCTTGATTTCTGTTTATTTATGTTTTTCATTTATGTAAATTGTACTCTGAGATAATCTAATTCTCACGAATTATTACTCAGATATAATCAAAATCTAATCCAATATAATCCTCAATTGATTAAAGATATAACTCAACTAATTAAGAAATCAAAAATAATCCTAATCCTCAACTGATCAAAGATATGACATGATTCACTCAATAATTTTTAGAAAATCAAAAACCTGTATTAACTGACTACTATATAAATCGCAAATTCAATCTTATTACATAACCATTCCTCGACACTTGAAAAAGGATAATATTTCGAAAACCGGTTCGTGTCAATTGCGTAAGTTTTTGTTTTACTTGTTATAATTTTTCACATCATTGTTAGCCTTATTTATCACCTAAATATATTTTTTTTGCATTTTTCATCATAACTTTCATCTTACTTTATATATCCCCAAACCCAGTTTGACTTATTTGCATAATTTGATCCCCACATTTTCACGCTAGCATATACCAGTTCAGACACAGAAATACATTCCTACCCCGGTGCCCAAATCCATCACATACAGTCAATCCTGGAATTATACGACCATGAACCCAAACCTACTACCATTATTCTTCATGTAGGCCTCAACAACCGTGATCAGCTACCAAAGACCTCCTTTAACCAAGCCCAGAAATTATTCGCCACAGCCAACAAAACCTTCCCAAAGTCCAAGATCCTCTTCACATGTACCCATTTCAAATAAAATCTCGAAGAAGGCACAACAGAACCTCAACAACATGATGATGGAGTCCAGTATCAACAGCGCAACAATCTTACCACCCTACGAAGAAGAATTCGAACCAGTTGATAATCTTCATTGGTCTCCAGAAACAGCAAACAGCATTTATTTGTTTTGGATACACCAGCTTCAAGCATCGAGTAAGTCTTTAAACTAATTACTGGGGATAAAAATACTGAGAGGCCACTGCTAGGCCAAACTGTAGTTAACTTGAGCCGCAAAATTCTCACACCCCTTCAGCATTCAATCTTAGACTGAAAGCACAACAGTACCTAAGCACTCTCAACAACATGATGACGAGTCCAGAATCAACAGCACAACAATCTTACCACCCTACGAAGAAGAATTCGAACCAGTTGATAATCTTCATTGGTCTCCAGAAACAGCAAACAGCATTTATTTGTTTTGGATACACCAGCTTCAAGCATCGAGTAAGTCTTTAAACTAATTACTGGGGATAAAAATACTGAGAGACCACTGCTAGGCCAAACTGTAGTTAACCTGAGCCGCAAAATTCTCACACCCCTTCAGCATTCAATCTTAAACCGTGGACTTAAATTTATTCCCACCAGCAATCGAGCAAGCAAGATAGTTCATGCCCCCATGGCAGAAAATGATAGTTGCATATTGAAAAAATAAGAACTTAAATGATAATATTGTTCATAGTAGACTAAAAGCAATCAGTACATAACAGATACTCGCTCATCGGGCGAGTTATTTTTTCTAATTTCAGATCAGAAGAAACCCCAATATCAAGACCCTTAATCTTAATTTCTTAATAAAGTGTCTGCTCCACCCTAGGCCTGTACAATCAAACCCTCCATTCCCCGAAATCCATTATCTGTTGATATTTTTATTTGATTATTTTTTTCGTTGATATTTCTAATGGAATTGTAAACAGAGAAATACTTTAATCCCAATTCATATTCTTGATTGCGATCGAGTTCGTACTCATAATCTAGAGACAATTTAATGTCTGATTTATTTGAGGTGATGACGAATAGTTGTTCTTTATTTGACATTTTTAATCACACTTTTATAATCATTTTTATCTATGATACCTTTTTCTAGGAGTCTTTTTAATATACAAAAATCATTATATTGTCTGTGCGATCGATGTCCTTCCTTCATTGGCGCTAATATTACTCGTTATCTATTAAGTAGTTCCTCGTTGATATCGGATAAAAACGTTATACCTTGTCCACTGTTTTCTCTAGCTATCCCCCTTTTCAATTCGTCTATTTGTTCTGTGATTGGTGGATAATTTTCTCCATAATCATCTGATTCCTCTTCATCATGAATAACTTTATTTAAATATGTTTCAATATCTTGTAATCTTTTTGTGTTGGGTCCTGTCTTTTTAATTAGATGTAGAAATTTTGAGTATGCTACTAAATCCTTGCGAACGGCAATATCAAAATCCCCACCATTCATTAAATCTATTAATCCTTCTGTTGTTGTAAATGTAAAGTCTTTTGTATCGATTTTGAATAAAGGGTAAACTTTATCAAATTTTATTCTATATCCATTAAACAATAACCCCTCATCAACAATTGGTGAAATACTCTTTGGTAAATATGAGTCAGGGTTTGAAAAATAATGATTTATATCATCTAATGTCCTAATTATAATACCATCATATTCAATGGGATATTCTATTTGATAAGGAGAAGGAAACGGTGCTTGTTGAATTTGTTTAGGTTCTAATTTCTTTTTAATATCCTCTTGAGATTTTAATATGGGTTGAAATAGAGTTTGTAGATTTTCCGTTAATCCGAGTTGTTGTAATCTTGGGTCTTTATTTTATTCTTAGCTTTGATATATTCTTTATTTCTTTTTAAAATATTATTCCAATTATCCATTTTTATAAAAAATAAAATTTAACAAATGTCTATCATAACTCTTTCACCTGTAGGTTTTCTAGTATTAACGAATATATATCCATGATCATCTGGGTTTTTCCATTGAGCTTAACAAACCTTTTTAAATGCATCTCTGTCCATTTCGTGAATTATAGACTGAATGATTTGAGATAAATCTTTATCGTTTAATTCAAATAATAAAACATAGAATCCATACCGTAAAAGATTGGGATTGATATATGCAGTGACAGTTGTGATGTCTTCCCTTCGTGAAGAATTCTTGATGAACAGCCCGATTTCTTTGCGCAACGCAGTCGTCAAACAATATTAAGTTCTTTCGTTTGCTATCAATATTAGACAAATCTAGGTCATTAACATTTTTCGTAAGAAAAACTTTTATATCCGTTGGTTTCTTTCCTTCGATGTAGTTATCTATGATATCTTTTATTTCCATTTCTTCTTCGTTTTCTTCGTAATATTGAAATAGGTCTTGAACATCTTTCTTTGGTAAATATTCTAAAGCTTTGAGAAATTGATAATACGATTGCTCAGGTGTTGTTGTGTAGATATACAAAGAATCGAAATCTAAAAGGTTTGGTGTTGTCAACATGTTAAAAGTGAGATGAGTTTTCCCAGAACCGGAACTACCGCATATACACATGAGCAAAGGGTTATTAGGAAATCTTTCTGAATGATTAAATTTTTTGCCCATATTGTATTATTTTAATTTGTTCCAAAAATCACTCCTTCTCCTTTATACTTTGAAAGATATATTCCTTCTCCAGTGTGTATATTTTTTTAAAATATTCCATTACCCTTATGTTTGACTTTGATTTCTCCTGTGTCAATACTATCTACTAATTTATTTAATCCTTGTTTAACAGTTTTCTTGGTTTCTTCACTAAATCTTTTTCCAAATTCTTTCATTGTGCCTATCATATCTCCCACTCCTGAACATTTCTTTTCCGTTTTAGGTTTTTTAACCTCTGCTGCCAACTTTTCCATTTTAGAATTGTGTCTATGTTCTTCGGCTGCTTTCTTTTCTTCGGCAGCTTTTGTAGCAGCAGCTTCTGCAATAGCAGCTTTCTTTTCGTTGGAAACGCTTACTCCACCAGCTGTAGCACCAGCTACTGTAGCCGCCGCGGTAATACCAGCAAATATTAGGGAAGGTAGGGAAAATATAAATCCACCCTTTTTTACATTCGCGTCAATTCTTTCTAAATCTATATCGTCTCTAACTTTACAATATTTGTATTTATCAATAAGTTTTTTAGTTATACTGATTTTTTTACCGTTGAAAGTTATTACAGTGGGGGGAATCTGTTTCAACAGCTTCTATTATTTTCTTAACTAAAGTTTCTGGTTTTTAAGGGTGTATTTTTTACTCAATTCTTATCATTCTTCTATCTGCTATTTTAATTAAATGTTTTGCTTCTTCCAATAATAAACAATAACCTGTTACATCTCCTTGTGTTTTTTCAATATGAATATTTATGTTGACTCCTGTTTTGATAGATCAAAACAGAAGACTGGATGATTAAGTGCAAAATCTACATATTCAAACTGAGGTGGATTTCCAAATAATTCACACATATTTTTATGGTTTCTATACAGTTCATTATAATCCTTTGTGGTTGGATTAATGGTTAAAGGTTGGTTAGGAGAATTATCGTTGTTTAACCTTACTTGAACTTTATGGATTAAAGGATCTTGAGTTTGGTTCATCGCCACTCTAAAGACATTATTGTTATTCGTTTGAGAATCTGGTAAGTTCTTGAAACCAACTATTAAATATCTTGCTGGTTTAATAGTGTTAGTGATTGACCATGTGGTGGATTCTCCCGTTAAGTCATGCTACCTACCGTGTTACGATGAAGAAAAGCTATTTCAATATCTTTAGTTAATGAGTTGAATATTCTCGTTTCTACTTCAATTGATGGTGTTATTACGGGTATGAAAAGTTGGAGATTCGTTATTTCTAATTTTGCATCTGAACCATTCTCTCCAAAAAATATCTTATCATCGTGATTTCTCTTTGTAGATGAATTTTATATGGTAACCCTATGGAAACCTTTCTATGTTCCAACAGACCGAATAAAGGATATAACTTCCAATTTACGTAATTACCCCACCTATTATTCTCAACAACATTATTATACTGAAGTACTCGTTTTTCGAATCCATGATTAGCTGCTCGTGCTACACTTTCTATTGTGTTTCGAGCTACAACTCTCACTCTATCTAAATCAGCATCATTTGCAAGATTTCTTACCGGTTCTTTTAAAAAACTTCCATCGCCAACATCGGTTATCCAACCTGAGACTGAATCGAAATCTTTAGGATATAAAACTGTTTTCAACATTGTGTCGAATTCCCCAGGGTGTTTAATTGTTTCTATCGGATTTGAACCAGCTTCCAAAACCATCTCGCTAAATAAAGATGGAAAGAAATTGTTTTCTAACGTTGTATTAGTTTGAGGAACTTGATTCTGAGTTCCATCTTTCATTTTGAAATCGCATCTGAAATAAGAATTTATTTCGAAGGTAATTCTACCACCATCATTCAATTGGGATTTAGAACCAACAGTCGGTGAGATGATAATATAATACTCTTTTTTCTTGTTAAACGAATAACGAATCGGATCATATAATCTTAAGATTGGATCTAATATTTCATTTGCCATTTTTAAGGTTTAAATTTGAGTAGAAAATTTCCAAAAAAGAGTTATCTCCCTTATTTTAAAACCCGATGTTATTTTATATAAGGGTAGTTTTAATATACTTTTTTTGATGGAATGTAGGAAATTGATTGAAGGTGTTTTTTGGTCTTTTTTAATGTAAGAATTTATGAAATGTAGGATGTTTTATGAAATTTAGGGAATTTAGGTCTTTTTTGGGAGCTTATACATTGGTCGCATTTTCCCCATGAAATGAAATGGAATGGGGAATCCCTATGCGACCAATGTGTAAGCTCATATACTACTTATATAATATCAAAGTTAGCTCATTTTATGTTCTCAATAAATTCGTCTTTGTTAATATTTTTAAAACATCTATACTGATCTGTGTATGCTCTGACTTTTTTTTGTATAAACAATATTTATTTACATAATAGGATTAGGGAACAGGCTTTCGCCTACAGTACCCTGTCCTTAGGACTTAAGAAGATGAACGCCTTTCCTATTCCAGGGAAAACAAACAGATATAGAATAAATTGGAACTATAGGTTTAACTACATGTTCAGTATGAGAAACAATAATATGATCAATGATAGTAGAAGTATTTAGTGTCACTCGAGTTTGCTGATCAATGATTTGAGTGAAATTATAAAAATTTAATAAATCAGTAAAATGAGGATTGTTAGAATTAGATGTTAGATCAATGTTGATATCGCCTATTATTAAAGTTTCGAAACCTAGATGCCAAATTCCATCTATCATACTTTCAAACGATTTTAACCACGTAGTTTTAGGGCCTTTGGTAGGATTCCTATATACACAACATGCCAGAATAGGTGAATGATTCACTAAAAGTAATTCAAACCAAATTCATTCAATGCCAGTTTTATCAAGATCATGTCGCATTTTAAATTTAATTTTTTTCTCTTATATAAAAAATAATACCAGAGTTACTAATAGTAATACTACAACTGTCTCTCTCCATAGACGAATTGCATTCAAATGCTTCCAAACGGAAAAATTAATAGAATTATCTAATGTAGCTAAATGATTATTAAGGTAATATTTGCGCATTGTTTAATAACAAGCTCAGTTTGTAATATGTACTCCTCTCTTGCACCCAGGACCAAACGAAATCAACAGAAACATGAATGATAAAAGAAAGCTATTCAATCTAATAAGTATCTTTGCTATAATATTTCGCAAAACGTTTCTACAGTCAAATTTCTTATTAGCATCCTAACCTTGAAATACCTACTGTCAAAAGCTGTTCCTGTTTAATCCCTTTCTCACATATAATATGAACAACCTTTTCCTCGTCCTACGCATCCTCCTATCAAACGACGTCTCGCCAAACCCAGGTCCCACACAAACCGAAAAGAAACACTTAACAGCCTTCCACCTCAATGTCAGAAGTCTTCGAACAAAAAGCATGGATTTGCAAATTTTGGCAAATGGGCATAATATCATCGCAATTACAGAAACCCATCTCGACAAGTCTGTTGATAATGATGATCTTCAATGGAACGGTTATCATATACCTATCAGAAAGGATAGAAATTGTTTCGGAGGTGGGGTTTTACTGTATATATCTGAAGTTGTAAAACACAAGCGTCGTGCGGACCTAGAAGTCGGTAATGCGGAAATCTTTTGGGTTGAAATCGATGTCCAAAATGACAAACTTCTCCTGGCATGTGTATATAGACCCCCTAATCTTTCGTCTATTTTCTGGGACGAATTAGATTACTCTCTAGAACTAGCTCTCAATTCATCTTCCAATGTTTTACTAATTTAGGATTTTAACTTCGACCTATTGCACAATCGAACCGGTAGGCTGCATGATATTCTTATTTCCAATAATCTATCAAATGTCATTAATGAGCCGACCAGGGTCACAAAATCTTCATCCTCGCTGAAATCAAAGTACTCTTCTCAGAAACGATTGAAGTGGATACCAAATTATCAGATCACAAAGCAATCAGCCGTGAACTTGATTTACAGGTCCCAACCATACCAAACTATAAACGGTTGATTTTTGAATGTAAACATGGTAAATATGATGATCTGAACAATCTTATCTCAATTCTTCTATGACACATTCAATAGCCTTATTGACCTGACCATACCAAAGAAGGCACTAATCATAAGGCCCTGTGATAAAGCCTGGTTCAATTCATCAATACGAAAAGAAATACGAAATAGTTCGAGAGCGTTTGCGATATAAAGCGAAAACAACGAGTAATCCCAGTGATGTCACGAAATACAAAAAACAAAGAAATAAGGTCACGAATTTCAAAAAAATTTTGAACGATAAATATGATACCAATATCTTAGAGACGATAAACTCGGGAGATAAATCTGAATACTGGAACAATCTGAACAGGAAAAAGAAATATGTATACCACCTTTGCAGAATTCCGACGAAAGTTTAGCTTATACAAATTTTGACTAAGATCAAGCCCTTAACTCATTCTTTGGAGCTGTGGCCAACAATACCTCCAATAATCCGCTACCAAATTTCCCTTCCCGAACTTCAAATACGTTTTCTTTTCCTAAAATATGTCAAACAGACGCCATCCTGTGTCTGAAACTCAATACCATATCCACCCCACTTGTACGTCTGTTTAACAAGTCCCTGGATAATGGAATATTCCCGAAACAGTGGAAAATAGCAAACGTCGTGCCCATGTTCAAGAAGGGAAAACCATGGCTACCTCTCAATTACAGACCAATTTCTCTGTTAAGCTGTATAAGTAAACTCTTTGAAAGGATATTATTTGCATAACTATTTCCATTCAAATAAACTTGTATATGTCCTTCAGTCGGGTTTTAGACCCAAACATTCCACCCATCACCAACTTCTAGAAATCTATCATGACATCGTCACTGCTTTTGAGAACCATAAACCTGCTTGCTATGTCTTCTTTGACATAAACTCCGTTCGTATGGTTTGGACAACTTAGCACTTAAATCGCTATCCAGTTACATCAGGATCAGTATGTGGACCTTTCTTGTTTTTAGTCTATATAAATGACATACATAAATCGCTATCCAGTTACATCAGGATCAGTATGTGGACCTTTCTTGTTTTTAGTCTATATAAATGACATACATAAATCGCTATCCAGTTACATCAGGATCAGTATGTGGACCTTTCTTGTTTTTAGTCTATATAAATGACATACATAAATCGCTATCCAGTTACATCAGGATCAGTATGTGGACCTTTCTTGTTTTTAGTCTATATAAATGACATACATATTACACTTAACAATACCCCGAGACTCTTCGTTGATGACAAAGTTCTTGGTTGTATGGTACACTCAGTCGAGATCTTGGAAGAGTCGCTCAATCGAGACCTTGAAAAATTCATAACTTGTCCACGACTTGGTTAATGGAATTTAATCCTCTCAAAACTAAAGTCATCCTCTTCTCGAAATCTTATTCCCGTCCCCCAAAACTTACGTTAGGTGGATCAAGTTTGGAGGTCGTCCAGAATCACAAGTATTTTGGGTGTGTATATACAAAATATATATTCGACCAAACATTCGAATACTGTTGCCAGGTCTGTGACGGCTGTAATGTGACCGACAGTGAAAAGCTTGAAAACATTCAGCTTGAATCGAATTGCAGGTCGAATTGTAACAGGTCTACCAGGGTATACTAAAAGGGATCAAATATATAATTAAACTGGTTGGCCTTTGCTGCCTGCACGACGGAAACTGAGACGGCTAACAACGCTGTACGATATTATGAATGAAAATTGTCCAACACACTTAAATGAAATCTTGGGCAGCTTTGAAAATATAGCTTCAAGATACCTGCTTCTTCGGACTACGACTCTTGAAAGACCATTCTTCCCATCAACAATTAATGATTATAATAAACTACATAATTTAACTCAGACAGAAAGAAGTAAGTCTCATTTCAAATCTGTTATATCAACTGCAAATAACCCTACCACCACTTTGAACTCAAACTTTCCCTTATCAGGTGAACGTAAGTACGTTATTATCCACACTAAGCTTAGAAATTGTTTTAGTTCTCTAAATCAGATCTGTTCAGATTTAACCTCATCAACAATCCTGTGAATGTGGACACTTTAAAGAGTGTGCATCTCATTTCTTCTTTGACTGTCCACGCTATAGTGAACAACGGAAAGTACTTATCCGAAATACACCAGCAAACATAAATCTAAATATCTCAACAATATTTTGGGGAGACAGGAATCTTTCCGTTACACAGAATTGTAAAATGTGCCAAGACATTTTAAAATAAATAAAAGCTACTAAAAGATTTGAAGTGGTAATTAGGAATTAAATTAGATCAACCTATTAAAACAAACTAGAAGATAAGATTGAATGGTACTTTCTTTGGCCACCTTGCACTATATTAGACTCTTATATAATTGTTATACAATTTCTTATATAATTTCTAATAATGTAAATTCATCATTATTAGTATAATCTATCTTTTTAAAAATTTCCATCACATGTTCTATTGCACCTTTCGTTGTATTCGAGCTTCTGTTAATTACCTATGATATTGTATGGAGCTATGGAGATGGTACTTTTTGTAAGTTTTGTGTAACTTTTACCAAATCCTTTTACAAATTGTAATAAAATATGTTTTAACTAAATCTCCTGAATGGTGGGTGAAAACTCTTAATATTAATGTCAGACTCAATTATATCAGTAACAAAAGATATCAAACATAGAAATTAAATTAGATATTTCATCCATTTCATCCTTATGTTTAAATGACCAAAATGTAGCCCCATTTAAATAGTACAGGTTCAAAATGTGCTGCATTGTAAAACATTTTAACACATCTACGAATGTGGCAGGTCATAACTATAAATGAATATAGCATAATGTTAATCTTAATCGTGATTAAAGTGAATTAATAATTAGTGATTAAGACACACTGATACTAACTGGCTTTATCTGTTATAAGAAGTGTTTATTCTGAAGCTGGTATCTGTATGTAGAGATTGAGTGATGATTTTATGAGCCTTACTAACAAACCAGATCCATTCAGGTTGAGATATTGTTTTATCTGATTTCTAATCATGAAAACATGAGCAGGCTGTCTTGTTAAAGTTCTATAAAACTAATATTGGCCAATTTGAATTTATCTTCCGGTTAGATGATGTAGTTTAAAAGATCTTAGTGATGAATTATTGGATCCTATCAAAAATTCCACAATTTCAACTACTGAATTTGCAGAAGAGCTTCCAATATACAGAATGAGATCTTCAAATTTAGCGCCTCGAGTCTTGACTATGCAATTTCCAGATGGATCTAACCTCTTAGTTTGAATATATTTCAGTAATGAAGAACCAACGATTGAGTTTTTTGGATAATATTCTTGTTTTCGACCAGACTTTTGATGATATTCAGTTTTGGAGGTGTAGCAAGCGTTCTTGTATAGGCTTCCTTGATTTCGTTATTTCAGCATAAGTTAAAGGAGGTTTAGATCGGTTGAAATAATCAAGCATTCCAGAGAGCCTTTTGATGTTGTTGTTGTTAAGTTTTTGAAGCCCATCTGTATCTATTTTCTAATCAGTCCTGGTTCCATTTATTAAAGAATTGTTTGTTAAAAGATGATTCATCTGATTTATCTTCGACAAATTACAATCCAGTTTCTGAACATTCTGAGATAGGAATCGGAGTAGACGTATGGAAAGGAATCTGTTGTGTTGCTTGGACCTAGGGCATTACTAGACTCGGCTCTTAAACCATCTATGGCGTTGAGAATTTCAGGCCAGTGGTCAGAAAAGAAAATAAAATCTACCTTAAATACTGCATAATAATACATGTATTCTGAGATATTTTTTTTGGGGGGGTATGAATTATGACCGATAGGTTTTAGTCAAAATATTTTGGTTTCCATGAGAACAACAAAAGCGTAAGTTTGAAATAGCAAATCTCACGCTATTAAATACAATATTTTGAGATGTAGCACCTACATTCTTCACGAATTAAGAAATTTGCATCACAGCATTTCATTTAGAGTCTTACGTTTCCATGGCAACCAATTTCATCTATTCAGCCTGTAATGTAAAACTATTCATGTCTCCTTTCACAATAATTAACCACAAGAATATTGGTAATCAGGGAAGTGTCGTCATCTAGCCTTATGATGTAATAACTTTCCCTTGGCATCCGCTAAGATTTGCATCAATTTTTTCAACTGGAAAGTCTGAAAGCTACCATGTCTAAACGCAAAGCTTATTCTGATGGAATTTCAAGTACAGTGGAGTCAATGTGTATCATACACATGATACTTGCCTATTCAGTGTCGAAAATCCAGATTTTAGATTCAAAACACTGTGTTGGACATTGGACATCCCTTTAGAATGACAGATGTATGTGCACAATTGCCTGAAAGCTTTACAAAGAACCACGAATACCACAGAGATTACTATCAACGTTTCACCATGAACCTAAACAGACTAAAGTCACCAGGTAAGTCTGTTTCTTTAGCTGAGCAAAGAAGTAGGCCCACCAGACGTGCCAGTGTTGCAATGCTATTTTGTTTACACCTGACTGTGTATTTTGTAATAGCACAAATAGAAAAGGATTAAATGTGGAGGCGCATGGACAACTGAAGGTTTGTCAACTATTGAATTCAACACAGTAATGTAATTAAGTTGGTGGAAGAAAGAAATGACGAAGATTTGTTAAGACGTATTAGAGGATTTGATTTCTTTGCACGTGAGGCCAAAATACCATCGTAGCTGCAGAATGAAGTACAGCGATCCCGAATCAATACAGAAGGTTAGCTCTATGGTGGAAGAACATGAACATTGTTTTCAAAAGGTATGTGAAATTATAGAAAAAGAAATTCTGCAGGAAAAGAAAGTTATTAAACTGAAAGATTTGAGAGATAAGTTTGTATATTCTTTGTCAAAAACTAATTATGTTAATTCCAATTACAGATCAGAAAACCTGAAGTTAAGATTATTGAATTCGGTGTATTAAAATAACATTTGTTCCATTAGACAGGATTGGTGGAAAATTGCAAATTGAACTGGTAGTAAGCACATCGCTGGATCTTTCAGAAGCTGTAAGAAATGGATATATATTAGGGACATCGGACAAAGTTGATGAATGAGCATCTTACTTGCGAGATATTATAACAGAAGCATTTGCTTGTGCAGACGAACTGCCTTGGCCACCAACTGCCTCATACTTGGAAGGGACCATTTGTGTTTTACCAAAAGAGGTTCGTAGGTGGACAGAATTGTGCAATAACATCTGAAAAAATAAGGTCCCTTGGTCAAGGTTTTTGCAGAGCAACTATGGGTGGAAAGTGGAAGCATATTCTGATCTGTATCGCTTTCAGGCATCTTCTTAGGAGTACCCAATTGAGTACCTTAATGAACAGACTAGGGCATTCAGAAAGTTGCAGCTTTGCCCTTGAAACAGCTCTAGATAATTTTGACAAATTTGTTAACAATATATCAGGAAGTAGGTCAATACATACTGCTAATGGCATTATGATGCAAGATAATGATGGATCGTTTGATTCAGAAAAAATACAAATAACTCTTCACACAATTACCACATCAGGAGAACGTTCATTAAAAATAATTTTAGATGGTATATTACCACCATGCTATGTTAATCACAGGGCTTGTCCGAAAATGGGAAAAACTGTTACACCCATTGACAAGAAATTGGTCTACTGTAAACCAAATAGAATAAATCAGATATGGTGTTTATTGCGATTAATGTGTGGAACTGGTTTATTTCTGAGACTGGGGTTCAACCAAAGAGACATACGACAATTGATTACTATTTGTACACCGCCCTATCATTGAAAATCCAACAGTTGAAGAATGTCTCAGGTACTCAGAAAAAGCTTCAAGAAGAGTTGGGCAAAAGTATGTTACCACAACGTTTGATCTCGGCGTTTGCATGAAAGCATACCCCATTATCTGGAACAGCCCAATAGAATACCAGAATCATATTGTATTTATTGGTTCCTTTCACTTATTGTCTGCCTATATAAAGATGACTGGGAAGAAAATGACAGGGTCTGGTGTGACTGAAATACTATTAGAGGCAGGTACTATATCCAGTGGCTCTATGAAAGGGTTTTTTTCTGGGAAAAACTACAACAAAACAATGCATTGCCATAAAACATTAACGTAAGGATAAGACTCTTACTTCAGAAATACATATCAGTTAGAAATCAAGAAACCTTTGTTTCAGAGTTGCCATCATCATCAGTAGCTAATCTCAAAAAATGATATAAAGATAGAAATGAAAAGAATGTAGATGCAGTATTATGTGATTACAATATACAAAAATGGTTATCTGAGTATGAAAAATTTCGCCAATCTGTAAAAAAACAAACAACTGCTATTCATGCATAAGTGACATCTTCTTTTTTAGTTATGACGGGCACAATTACGCAAGGTATCCTTCTTTTCTATGTTCTTGGAAAATATTGAAACAACTCATCCAGGTGCTTCTGATTTGTTGCAACGGGGTGCATTTGTCGTGACAAGATCATTTGTGCCCGGAAATACATGTCCAGTTGATACAACAATGGAAGAACCTTTCATGAAACACTCAAAATCTGATCCTGGCAGTAAAGGTACTGGGTTACAGGCTTGTTGACTAACTACAGCGCATACCATAGATGTTAGAACTGCCCATGAACGATCCAGGTAATTGGAGATCACATTACAGATGGCTGTAGTGACTGATGTTAGTGAGAATCAACATAGAGAAACAAGGCCACTCAAATAAGAAAGGGTGAAGAGGCAGTTTGTGCTGTTACAGATTCAATTCTTAGCTTTATGAATCCGTTTGACATTCCATATCATGAAATCTATACTGCTTATCATCAGGTGCACCAACAAATATCGCTGTCAGGAATGACTTGCTAAATGCTGAAGAAATTGGAAAGTCTGTAAAAAAACGATTTTTCTGCAAACCGGATTCAGAATATTAAAGACTTTTTTCCCCAATCAAAACACTGAATTAAACACACATTTAATAGTATGTTTAAGAAATCCAAAGCAATCACTACAAGAAATGGATGGTTAACTGACAAAAGCAAAGGCTTAGCATACTGGACAAAATCTGGAAAAAAATGTCATCTTTTAACAGTATAGAGCGCTGCAGTAGAGGATCAGGACAAAAACGACTCATTAAAGGAGTAAGTACTGTTGGACCAGAAGATTGGAAAGAATTTTTGACAAATGATGACAATAAACAAGAGCTTATAAAATTACTTATTCAAATATGGAGTGACAATGAATTTAGTCACAAGATACAAGAAAAGCTGATTATAGTTGTTTGGGAAGGTGAAGCATACAAACATAATTCAAGAGATGGTGAAACAGTCAACAAGAGCCCAATACAATCTCTATCATCTAAGAAGAAACAGACACAAATTGTATACTGTTTATATGCAGAAGAACACAATTTTGATTATGTTCAAATCAAAAGCCCGGACAGAGATGTATTTTATATTTTACTTTATTATGCTTCACATTTGAAAGTTGATATCCTACTAGATATTGGCAATGGGAGTCAGTCGAACGAATTAAACGAAAGCTTATTAGCTTTGCATGCATTAACCCGATGTGATAGGACCAGTGCTTTCAAAGGAATAGGTAAGGTAAAACCTTCAGAAGAGTCCCAAAAATCCTTTTGTCGTCTTGGAAGTGAATGGCAGGTTGACGAGGCGTTTTTTGAAGATCTTGAAAAATTTACTTGCATTATGTACAAAAATACGACATCAATAAATTACGGTATGATATTTTAGTGGCAAAAAAAAGTGGTGGTGGCCAGTTTGTGCCCCAAAGAATGTTGGCCTGTCATGTTTCCCGCCAACTAAAGCGTGTTTGAGACAGCACATTAAGAGAGTCAATTAACAAGTTTGCATTTGGAAACAATCTCATGTTCAAAAGCCTGTAATTCCATGCCCTACCAATGATCATGGTTGGGTATTAATGAACGAAAAATTTGAACCAAAATGGTTGATGGGGAGTTAATGCCCAGGATCTTGCTGATATTGCTGAAAAATGTCAAGATTAGATTGTAGATTCTGATGAAGATAATTATAGTGGTTCTGAAGATGAATATTTATATGATGGTTAGACATTATACAACATTAACTGATATTTATTTTGTGGTGATATAATACAGTGGTGATAACAAACATTAAATGATATTTGTGGTGGAATAACACATTGGTGGTATATATAACAAACATTAACTGATATTTGTAGTGGAAAAATACAGTGGTGGTATATAACAAACATTAACTGATATTAATTGTGATATAATGACAGTGGTGGTATATAACAAAAATTAACTGATATTTGTTATGGAATGATACAGTGGTGGTATATATAACACGCATTAACTGATATTTGTGGTGGAATGATACAGTGGTTGTATAATTATAACAACTTTAACTGACATTAATTTTGTGGTGATATAATGCGGTGGTGGTATATAACTATGGGACGCCATTAATGCAAACAGTTCACAGATTTTAAATTAGTTTGCAAATTTGTCAAGCAGTTTACAGATCTAAATTAATACCAACTCGCAAATTTACACCGTTTCGTGGAAAATCTGGTTATGCCGGCCACTGACACCAGGTGGCGCGAATTTATACCAAAAAGTTATGCCGACACCAGGTAGCGCGCGATGTGTCAAAGTTCATAGAGCTATAGATAGAATAATATTGACAATTCCAAAACACTTTCTGATTTGTGCCGTTTTCTAAATATAGAAACAGATTGTTGTCAAAAGGTTAAGGTTGTGGCAGTCTGTATAATTTACGACTTTACAATAAACATTTTACGAGTAGCCTTCCCCTGGTTGAATTTTTCTTAGTTCGTGTATTTACTAAAACAACAATTCAGACTTAAATTCCAATTTTTTTATCTAGGTTAGAGAGAAAATTACAAAGTTGTGTGCTTCGAGTTCGACTCCACATCTACATCTAGTGAGAGTGCCTCTGCGTTCAGTACTGGTAAATCTATCGGCATTGTGAAAAATGATAGTCTAATAGTTCAGGTAAGTAAGCTAATTGATATACTATTCAATATGGGTATAGCAACAAATTCGGGCCTCCAAATTAGGGTTGAAAGCTATCTATGAACTAAGCAAATTAGTTAGACGCACTCAGGACTATATGCGGGGCTATAAAAGGAACAAGTCATGCCCTCTCATACAACGAAACTGGTTTTATCACACTACAAGAGAGACGAGGAGGCATATAAACTAAACTTACTCCAAACTTTCTTTCAGATCTCATACCTACCAGAAACAACCCATATAATCTTAGAAACAACCACCTCTATCACTACCGAACAGACATATTTTATAATTCTTGTATACCATCAGCAATTAGAGAATGGAATCAACTACAAGACTAGAACTGGTACTGAGTGGGACTTTGCTCATGTGCCAATTTGCAAGAGAATCTGAAAAAATCAACGTTCTTAGCCATTTAGGTCACGTGCTAAATCAGTCAAAATTTTTGGAAATTTCTCTTTTTTGGAAGGTTGTGAAGGGAAAGGTCATTTAAGGTCAAGGTCAATAGATATGAGTCCTCAAACTTTGAAAATACAAACATTATAAAACCGGAAGTTGACGATGAACATCAAATATGAAGGTATTAATCTTTAGCCAAGGTCAATGACCTTCGATCTTACAAAGGTCAAGGTCATCAAAGGTAAAGATCAAAAGTTGAAAATATGTAAAATTTAAACCCTGTTCCTTTTTTTGAACTACGAAGCTGAAACAACTGACCTTTTCACACAAACAAGCCAAAGGGGCGAGGAAATTGTGTGCAAGGTCCTGTTTTGTATTCTAAACAAGTTATACCCCTGATAAAAATGTAAATAATAAGTAATTTAACCCTAATATGCCACGCCCACCTCAACTTAATTCAACTAAGTTAATTCATATTTAAAATGTCTCGTTGTTTTCCGAATTATATATCACTGGAAAGAGCACGATGAGCACATTCAGAATCCACAAAAATTAACCCTCAAAGTTAACTAGGTCACGAGCCAGAGCAGTCCAAATTTGCAAATTTGGCTGTTTTGGACAGCTATAAAACCAATAAAGGTCTAGGTCATCAAAGGTCGAGGTCAAAAATTGAATGAGTTTCCAAAACCTGTACCTTTTTTTGGAATTATGAAGCTGAAACAACCGAACTTCTAAGATAAAGTGGCTCAATGAATGAGATAATTGCATGCAAAGTTTCATTTTGATCAAATGTATTCTTTGCGAGTTACGCCCCTGGCTAAAAATGTCAATAATGAGTAATTCATCCCGGATGTGCCACGCCCACCTCACTTTTTTGGCATATGTTAACTTATATTCTAGATGTAATCTTGTGTTCTAAATTTCAAGCTTCTACATCATACAGGTCAAAAGATATAGGTCAACAAAGGTCAAAATCGAAAATTGAAAATATGGGAATTTTAAAACCCGTTCTTTTTTTTTGGAACTGTAAAGCTGTAACAACTGAGCTGTTAACACAAACTGGCCAAAAGGACGAGGTAATTGTGTGCAAGGTCCCTTTTTGAACAAATGAATGCCACGCACACCTAACCTTTTTTGTCACTAATGAATTCATATTAAAAATGTCGTTGTGTTCTAAATTTCTAGGTTCTACATCAAATAGGAAATAAGATATACATACACCAAGCTCAAAGAGACACATATATTGTAAAAAAAACACTCAAATTTGAAAAAAAATCACGAATTTCAATTTTGCTTTAAAAACGATTGTAATGTATCACTGGAAAGAGCATGAAAAGCACATTAAGAATCCGAAAAAATAACCCTCTAGGTTAATCAGGTCATGTGCTACAGCAGTCTCAAGTTGCGAATTAGGCTATTTTCGGACAGATATAAAACCGGAAGTACAAGTCTGAGGCCAAATGTGAAAGTATCCACTGATAGCCAAGGTCAATGACCTTTGACCCATTAAAGGTCAAGGTCATCAAAGGTCAAGGTCAGAAGTATGAAACCTTCAAACTTTCAAAAAATTCAACCGGAAATTGCAAAAAAGCAAAAGCGAAAATCAAAAATCGGGCTTCTAGAGGCTTCTTGTTTTTCTATGTTCTTTCATTTGACACCAAAATCAAAATCAAATCAAAATGTGCAAATACTGATTTATATTTAATAACAACATTGCCACTACAGAAGATCTACAGATGTAGAAATGTTCCTAACTATTCGTAACTTACTCTACGGCACATATAACACTCTCGAATCCAATAATATTTTTGAAAATGTTCATGATTTTCTTTCACTCTCTAATATACTCTAAACGCTGAAAAAGTTTTTTTATTGTTTTATCTTTTTTTTTTCGTCTACGGCAGGCCGGTTTTCTTAGCAACGGCAATAGGTACGGGAAAACGGACTTCATGACGTTTTCTAACTCGTGGCTAATCACAGTTTAAATGTAAAACGAAACGTTAGCAACAAACGGAAAATGGACTTTATCAACCGATTTTGATCGGGTTTTCTGCATCGTATTTCTTGTAACAAAGGACAAATGATAGTTATTATTATTATTACTATGAATATTATTATTCAAGTGTATCTGTAGCGAAGTGTGTATATATGTATATATGTTTAAATATTTGTTTATTTGACAATGTAAAAATATGTATCGTTAGTTAGGAGAGGATGTATCATAGGCGTAAGCCTGTTCTCCAATCCTTTTCTTAGGAATGAATTATTGTTTACAAAAAAAAACTAAGCAAATTTATTTATTAGGTTGATAAGTGATTAAATAATTTTTAAGTAAAAAAAAAAAAAAAAGAAAAAAAAAAATAAAATTAAAGTTCTCGAAATGGTCAATATGAGTATATATTTATCAGCTATCTTACCTGGTGTCATAAAGTTACAACAGGATCCATGTCATATCTGGAAAATTGGAAAATTGATAAAACTAAGTAATTATTGAAAAACGCTTAATTTTGATATTAAGCATTTTTCAATTAGTTAATTGCATGCATATTTATGGATAATTAATAAGTTTTTTGGATTTATCGGATTATATAAGGATCCTGTTATGTTATTTATGACACTAGGTATATCTACTGGCTCTTGGGTTTTAAGTTTTTCAGTGTTTTTCAATGTTTTTATTTAAATATTTTCATTACACTGGAATATCATGACTCTTGAACTGAAAAGTTCAAATTCATTAGCAATAACCATGTATTATACAAACTGGATGAAAAGGCACATGGATGTATTAATTGTTATGTTGTTCACGTTATTGGGGTTTTGAAAGCAATTTTTGTTACTATTTGCAGGTTCAGAAATATGGAGAAGGTACAATAAGTAATAAATGTAGCTGTCATGCATTGAGGTTTAGTGTTTTGTGATATAAAAGGATAAGAAAAGTGGGTTATTTGATTTTTAAATTATATATATAACAACTTTTGTTCTGAAGATCCACCTCATCCCTGTACTAACGTCTTGAAATTGATACAAACAACTTGGCATTAATACAAACGTCTTGGAATTGATACAAACCTCTTGGCATTCATACAAACCTATTGGCATTAATACAAACCTCTTGGCATTAAATTTTACTGGAGTGTAATTGAAGAGATAGAATATAAGTTATTGGTGGATAATTATAAATATGTGATATAATAATAATGATTATTTAAGGTTGATGCATCAACACAGACTGAGTCACAGAACAGCCCCCAAATAATTTTCAAGTCAAAGACCATGCTTACTTTATAGAGACAACTGAAAGGTCCTTTCAGCAAATACCAGGTAGGTAGAGCATTGTCTTATGTAGTGCTACTGTCCACAAAACATTGTGTCAGAGGTATATAGATTTTGAAATAAAAATTAGTATAGTCTGCAGTTAATTTACAAAACATCCAGTCATAGTCATGGATCAATGGCTTCATTGCAAATTGGGAGTTAATGCTGCTAAATGCAAATCACATTTTTCTTATGTTCATCAAAATAAAATATAAAGAAGAACTGCAAAAACAAATTAAATTATAAATATTTTCTTAAGAGATCTTGGGCAAGTTCGAATATGACGATCTCTCGATAAACGGCTTTTGAGTTATTGCCCTTGATTTATGAAAAACTCGTCAAAAATTTGGTGTGAATATCTATAATGATGAGATCTTGGACAAGTTCGAATTTGGCTATCTTTCGATGAACGGTTTTTGAGTTGTTGCCCTTGACTTAGGAAAAACGCGTAAAAATAATCTGTGTGTGAACACAATAGAGACTACAGTTTTCTTCCGATTTAAATCATTTATAGTGATGGGATCTTGGTCAATTTCGAAATTGGCCACCTTTTGGTGAACGGTTTTTGAGTTATTGCCCTTAATTTAGGAACAACTCATCAAAATTTGTTTGTGAACACAAAAGAAACTACAATTTTCATGCGATTTAAATGGTGTAATTAATTATGAGTAAAAACGCATCAAAATTTGTTGGCTTGTTAACGCGATAGAGGTGAGAGTTTTTGTCAGAATTAAATAATGTGTGTTTGTTTAAATCAACAATATCTTGCACAAATTAGATTTTGGTGTGATTTGACACAGATAGGTGACCGCCCTTGATATACTGAAAATGTATGAGGAAAGTGGGCGTATCTTGCTAGGCAACCACTTGTTTACATTCCTTAGACCTATTATTTATCTATCTTTCAGAGTTCAACACATCAACACCTCGAAAAAATAATATAGCGATTGTGGATGATGAATCTGAAGAGGAGGGTGATATAGAACCCAATGAAAATGACTTGTCATATGTACCATGTTATGGATCAAACAGTGAAGATTTTGTAAGCGATGAGGATTTTGATGTTAGAGATCAAACTGATGGTATAAGTTTCCTTGATGAAGTTGATATTGATTCTCGTATGAGTCATCAAAGAACCTTTCTGATTTATGAATCATCTTTGATTGAAATTCTATCGAAAGTAACTTGTGAAAAATGTAAAAGTCCAATAATTAAAAGAAGAAAATCTTTAATTGGATATTCACTTACTGTACATGGTGAGTGTTTGTGTGGAAAAGACTTTACATGGAGGTCCCAACCTTTTATCCCAAACACGAAAATTCCAGCTGGAAATCTGGCATTATCTGGCAGTTCTATTTTGATGAGTGGATTAACATATCAAAGAATTCAACAATTGGCGTATGTTCTAAACTTGCAAATTATCAATTAAGATCTACAAATTTCAACGCAATTGTTTATTGCCAGTGATAGATACTGCATGGTCTATGGAGAAGGATAGAGTAAGTTTTTGTCTCCAAAATATTAGAAAGCCAGTGAATCTTTGTGGTGATGAACGGTGTGATTCTCCAGGCTTCAATGCAAAGTATTGCACGTATACCTTAATGGAAATGTCTTCTAAAGAAATTGTCTTCAAGTATCAGAAACTACATCATCAAATGCCATGGAAAAACTTGGCTTTGAGAGATTAATGGATCGATTACTTGAGGTCATTGACATAAAAATTATAGCTACAGACTGTCACATGGGAATGAGAACACATGTCCTGGCACATTTCAAATTCTATTGAAAAAAAATTGCTTCTGGTATAAAAGGTAATAAGAAAGTTTTGAAGTTAAAAAAATGGACAAGATCAATTTGCGATCATTTGTGGTGGTGCTCTTTTAATTGAAAAGTGGAAATCCTTACTGAATCATGTGCGGGACATACATTCATGGGAAGATTTTACTCATTTTCACATGGAATTTTAGGCCAAGATAAGAAGGTTATACGGCTCAAATCCGGTGAACCCACATTTATTGTTTTGAAGAAAACTGAACCCATTACTTCTATGAGACATACGACAACTGTCTGATTTCTGTCATACAGGATCACTTGAAGTTTTTCATTCTATGATGCTTAAATATTTACCGAAAAGACAGGAATTCGACTTCGCTTGTATGATGGCACGGACTCAATTAGCAGCCTTGGATCATAACCACAACGTTGATCGAGAAATTGTTCTTGAAGATTCCAAACCAAAATACAGACCAGCTTATTCAAAAAAAGGAAAACAATGGGTTGTAAAACCAATATATGAATCTAAATATTTAAAAAGAAAGACTTGCTGAATTTTATGTTATATCTTTTTTAATAAGTGATATGAGATTGCATTAAATTGTATGAACACAAAGAGTTTGACCACAGATTTTCATACAATGTACCAATGGCGAAGAATATCGCACCCGTCAGGTTGAAGGTTAATATACCTCAGTTGTTCACGACAACAAACACCTTCACGACACTCAAGAGCAGTGATGTCCTGACATTTTCCTCCACATAAACACCAACACGAAATATTCAGGCGATCTCCGTGATAGGTCCAATCGTTATCTGATGAACTTTCGCTGGAAACCCAGTGGTTTCTGTTTCTATTTGATAGGGCCGAATGTCAGCCATAATGTTTGTTTACCTTTCTATCTACGACGTGACGTCATAATCTCGCATATTCACGAACTTTAACGCCACTAATGGCGGCCTTCATTTCAGCCCAAAATCGAATAATATTTAATTTTGTCGATGAATTTCTGTCATTTTATTGTTTAGACGTATTATGTCTTTTTACCGGAATATTGGGTTATTGATGTAAAACGTACTATTCCTTTAACTGATATTTGTGGTGGAATAATACAGCGGTGGTATATAGACCTTTCTCGTACAGATGTACTATTCGGTTATCCGCCCCTGCCATTAGGTGTCGCTTTCAGTTTGCCACCATTAAGGTACTGAAAAGCGGGAAATATTATTGTTTACGTTGACAACTTAATCGCATGACGCCAGGTCCAAACTTTTGACAGATACTATTGAGATGTCGTACTTGAAGAGCTGTGGTAAAAACTGTGTGGTTATAGGCTGTCATAATAACCAAAAGAAGTTGCATTTATGGAATAAGGCTGTGTGCAAGGACCATGCAGATATAACCCCGTACTCGCTTCACTGCATCCCGAAGAATGAAGACAGAAGGAGAGCATGATTGAAAGCAATTAATCGGAAAGATTTTGATCCTAGGGGAAAGTAATTGGTCAGTAAATTATCAAAACTCATATCACTGTGGTTTAGTAGAAGTCATCAATGGTAGTTTTTACTGAAATTTTCAGGCCTAGCCATGTAGACCCATGTGAAATTTAATAATGGGGGGTGAAAGCTTACTCTAGGAAGCAATGGTAGAGGCATTTGAATATTTTTTTACCATGAGGAGGATTTGAACCACTGACACCATTTTATAAGAGGTCTACTTTAGCCTTGACGTTAATGGCAACAGTGACGACAGTGCCTCAAAATGTTGTTGTTTTGGGTGCAACAACCAGAGAAATAAAGATAAAGGAATAGCGCTTCATAATAAGACATACTTTCAGTTATTGAGGGATTTGAAATAAGATTTATGCATTATTTTAACGATGAAAGCCAAGAAGAGTCGGCAAGAGTCAAGACTAAAACAAAAACTTCTAAGAGTGACTTTTTGTCTGTTTACTTTTTGAATTATCACGTTGCTTCACAAATTAATGAGTAGATCTATGGTCTATCCATATTTTGTATTAACCCTCTGTAACTTAATTACTATTTGTGACTGTTTGGCCTGAAAAATACCCAATTAACAGCAAAATAGCGTTCGATTTTTTTTCGAGGGAGTAAGGTAAATTATTCAAAGACCCTTTGGTGTTCGATTATCGCTTATGTCAGAAACATGTAGCTGTGCTAGGAAATAGTGTTACTCCCTTCGTTTCTTTCTACGATGCAGCCTTGCCGGAACTCGTGATTATCAATTTTCCCGGGAGATACAGCTTGTATATTTTAGTATTTTTTTTGTAATTCTTAAGCCGCGAATAGACCTCAGACGGGGTTCTAACAGGGTATCCTTCGCTACATTTAAGACAACCAAAAGAAGCAATAGAACGCTAAATGGGTTTATTGACAACAGGACACCATGTTTTCAGAAGTGGCCTTCCCGTTGCCTATATTATGAAAATATTATTACAAAAGGTTCTGTTGTCATATTCCTATTTCTATATATATAAGCTTTATGTCTTATACGTATGTATTCATATTTCAACCGATAAATTGCATATTTTTTTTTATCTAATCTTATTGTTGATTATTATTATTATTAGATTTGATTTGTGAATTCAAATGTTAATGCAAGGTAGAGAAATGAAAACCAAGGAGCACTCGTTAGCAACCTGAGGATTATAATTCTGCAAGCTGTTAAATCGGCCTTGAAGATTTTCTTAATACTTTATCTTTTTCAGGTCTATCTTTTCAAGCCAACCATTCTAGTCCTCCCATGATGTAATAAAGACAATTGAGAACCAAGTATTGCGAGAACTACGAGGGAAGATATTTCTTGGAATGGACGACCATTTTCAGGAAGTCGGTAGCTTTGAAGACGATCACTGCGGTATATTGCTCAACACGATATTCTCTTTGTTTTGGCGAACAATAATGCACCATCATGGTCGTCTCTTCACAAAACGCCTCATACTTGAGAACAAAGTGTCTAGGCGCCACCAACTTACTAAAACAGTGCTTTTTCTTGGTCAGTAAAATACACTATCTGTGTTTTGTACATAATTGTTTAATATAGGTTAAAATACAAAAGATCTTTCAACCCTTGATTCACTGAAATACGTTTAAAGAGGAAATAGATTATGTCAGAATTCTATAATAGTTAAGGTTTATATCCACAAGATCTTAAACAAGTTCGAATAAGGGTTGGATTCGACAAGTGTTGGATGAGTTTCAACCCTTTTTACACTGAAAATTACATTTATTTATTCGGTTAACAGCCACAAGATCTTGAACAAGTTTGAATTTGGGTTGCATTCAACAAACATTTTATACACTTTGCGATACAAAATGGCCTTTGAACGGAATAGAAATGAAATGAAATGAATGGAGTTTTACGTCCTACTTTTCTGCACCATGTGGGTTAATGAAGACGGGCAACGCCATGCGGGGTGCAATGAGGGAAATTTTGCCAGGACAGCGGCATTAGCCTGCTCTTTTTCGATTTCCAACTGTCGAGGGATCTATAACGTGCACAGCCTGTAGTACAGGGGGCCTCGGTTTATTGTCCCATCCGAACGACTAGACGCTTTTTCCATGTCAGCCCCTCGTACCTGCATCACTGACAGGAGGAAACCGGGTTGAAAAATCCGAAGGTATTATCTCGACTTATGCCGGGATTGAACCCCGGACCTTAGCGAGCAAGCGTCTAACTCACTGAGCCACCGCGGCTCCCTTTGAACGGAATAGAGGCCCTATCGATAATTCCATACCATACACCGCATCGGACATTGCACACAGTCCATTCGCACCTTGTAACAAATGGAAAATTTGTAAAATATTTGAAAATATGTCAATATCCCTTAATTAATGGATGTTTTGTTCAATCAAGAGCATTGTTTATTTAAAATTTTTTTTTTTTGCAAGACAGTGTCCGTTCTACGCAATTTAAACATTAACAAATATAACTGATATTTGTGTTGGAATGATTGTATATAACGAACATTAACTGATATTAATTTTGTGGTGATATAATACAGTGATGGTATGAATGAATGAATGAACTATTTATTGCATTATCATATACATGTACATAACATAATGCTTTAGAATATATACATAGTAATATACATAAATATGTGAATCGAATAAATTAATTAATGAATGAATGAAGAGCTAAATATATTCGCATAAATCAATAGCATAGAAAATATCTTTGCATGATTTGTAATATAAGAAAAACATTTTAATAAGTAAAACATATAATAATATTATATGGCAATTATGAATTGATATGAATTGATGAATAATTAAATAAGTTAGAATAAATATTTCATTTGCATAAACAACGAATTAAATGGCATAGAAAAATGTGCTGTCATATAACTGATACATTAACTTATCTATGTACAACATACCGAAATTGGGCTCATAATAGTGAAAATATTTTGTTAGTGTAGTATTGTATTATGGAAAACATATGCAATAATATCATAAAATCATATAAAGTGAAATAAGTTGATTACATAGAAAATGTATCTGACATAATAAGAACTTCATGTATAGCATTATACCGACAATCTTAATATTTCAATATTGATAATTCGAATTTGATTATAGTTTCGTACGGAAGTTTTATATATAGCTGTAGAATATTAAACATCTAACTTTGTTTCTATAGCTTATTAATTTTCATGAAATTTTCTTTGGTCTTCCAGGCGTAAAAAACATACCTGGATATATTCTTTATTTTGATAGTTGATTTGACTTTCATAAGTTTGTAAAATTTCTCATGTGAAGGCCAACTCCAGCAATAACAAGGAAGATATTGGACCTTAATTTTCTGTACAGTGGACAACACAAAAGAAAATGGAATTCATTTTCAATTTGACCTGCATTATTGAAATTTTAGATAACGACCAGTTTCTACATTTAATTTTAATGAACCTCCTCTAAATTTACATAGAGCATTTCTGAATTTTACATCATTAAGTACTCCTAAATACGATGCACGCGAAAATTCTTCAAAGAAATTAAAATAGAAGTGTAATTTATGCGAATTTTCAACGTCCTGATACCAAGACTGAATAAATTTATTAATAAGATTTTATTTTATAAATGAAAATGAAGACAGATTTAGATTAGATTGATCGTTCCAAATATTGATTAGACCTATATAACAATCATTAATTGATATTTGTAGTGGAATGATACAGTGGTGGTATATATAACAAACATTAAACGATATTTGTGGCGGAATGATACAGTGGTTGTATATAACGAATATTAACTGATATTAATTTTGTGGTGATATAATACAGTGGTGGTATATATAACAAACATTTGATATTTGTGGTGGAATGATACAATCAAAAGATTATATTCTAAAGCTGTTTTTGTTCCCATGGAAACCAAAATGTTTTAATTGAAACCATCCGGTTATAATTCATACCCCAAGAAGAAATATCTCAGAAAAGTATTTATTTATATATTTCATTTAACATGAACCAAATTGAAACTAAAATACTATATTATGTACCTAATAACCGTAATAACATTAATTATAGTG